CCAATATCCTTTATTGTATCCCAGACACTAACAATAACAAATATCCTTCCCAAACTAACCAACCTAGTACGTTCCCAGCGCACTAAAACCCAAAATACAAATCTACTAAATCCCCTAAAATCCTAGAACTGTCTAAAGAACTAAAATACATAACGTTCTATATATATTTACAAATAGACTCTAAATAAGCTATATACTATTTAAAGTCTAATTAAAGTATGCTTTATACTTCGCATAAACTATTAAATTGTTACACGCAAAAGTATATAAAAGTATAATGAAAGTATAACGGTCACACAAACAAAGTTTAATTGTGAAACTTGGTTTCGTAACAGTGGATCAATTTTTTAACAGTTATAACAGGTATCGGTTCTGACAGGATATTTGAATTTATGCTGTTTACTTTATATTTAATTCAAAACATTGAATTTAGATTTTCTGTTTTCTCAAAAATTAACTAATTTATTTAAAACTTTAACTATATAAAATTATAATTCGCGAATATTTATAAGTTGTAAGCTCATAAATAATATTTTTATAATAATATATAAAATAAATGCAAAGTAAAAACCTGTAACTAATAGTAGTAACTCATTAAGTATAGTTATAGATTTACATTCTACAATGCTCAAATGTCTTTGAGAGCGTAAAGCGCCAGGTTTGAATAATTTAAATGATATTAATACTAACTGAAATCCAGATCAGAAGTTTGGTTGGTATTAGCAGTATGTAAAAAGGTCTGATTGTCCTTTCGACATTCCTGATTACTAACATTAGAACATCTAATTCTATAACAAACATAAAATACTAATCCTATTACCATCCAGCAAAACAGTCTTATAACAGATTCAATCGTTGCAGTTGCTAAAAAAAGTAAATTTAATACAGCACCTAATAATGGAACCCAAAATGGAACTCGGTCTTTAAATTTTCTTTCAAACTCTGGTGCAGTAAATCTTAAGACTGCTACTCCTACGTTTACAGTGAAGAAAGCCAACAGAGTACCTCCACACATCAATTCAGAAAGTACATTTATTGGAAACAATGCAGCGGATATAGCTGCAATTATACCTCCGATTAGAGTTGTATGATTAACATTTGAAGCGGCCGTGGGAAGGAATCCATCACTATATATAAGAAATATATCAATAAATTTTTAAAAGAGCAAATAAATTTAATTCAAATATAAAATTAAGACAGTTACTTTGCCATCGCATAAAGAATACGTGGTTGCCCCATCAATAATGCGAGAATAACGGATATTAGACCAATTACTGCACCAATATCCATAATTATTCCTAGCCATTTCATTCCAATCAAATTAACAGCAACAGATAATGGCGCAGAGTTGTTAAGCATTGTATATGGAACCACGCCTATTAAAACGACACTTAAAAATAAATTAAAAAAGGATTTATCTCTATTATGTAATAATGATATGCGTCAAGAAAGCACGTAAATATTATTGTATGGTTAATTTACCTTACAATTATGTAAATTACAAATACAATGCCGAAACTACTCATTATAGCAATTGGCAAATCCTCTTTCGGATTCGTGCATTCTTCAGCAACAGTTGAAGCCAAATCAAATCCAACATATGCAAAGAAAACACTAGTAGTTCCTGATAATATTCCAGTGATCTAACATTATTCCGTATTAATGAGCTTTTTTGAGAATTTAACCAACAAAATAATTCGCCTCTAAATGAGAAAATTACTATAGTAAACTTAAAACATATCGGCCGATTTGTTTTGACCCCAAAATCGGCCAATCATGATCGAGGATTATCATTGCAAAGAGAATTTTCACAAAAATGGTCTTTTTAACTAGCCTTGCATTTATAATTAAGTACGTAGAAATTTAGGAAATTCATGTATTTAGTTATAAGCCAAAAGTAAGTTAAAAAGACCGTTTTTTTGAAATTAGCTTCCGAATTTACCCTTGTTAGTTACCAACCAATCAAACAATGCCCAACCCATCCTCAAACATCCGAATATTTCAACAAAAGGTAAAAGTATTTCTTTCTACAGCTTAGCTGAGCTCTTTTATTAGTTTTTATTGGTTGTTTGACTAGTCTTGACATTAACAAAAGCTCTTTTGTTAGTTGTAATAAATACTTCATTTGTTACTTTTTTTAGCATCACTTAGAAGCAAATTTTCGTGTAACGTTTATTGAAAAAAGGCCCAAAAAATCAAATCAGCCGATATGAATAGTATCTACTAATTAAAATATTTATTGAATTTATAATAATAATTAAAGAGAACATTTTTTAACTACACAGATAATGCAATGAAGTATATACGTACAATTTTTTAAAATAATAAAATATATGTAAACATTGGCGAAAAATGTTTAAAATTATTACT